GATACCAGTATCGGTATCGGTGCATCCCTAGGTTTACGTCTTTCATCCCAAATAAGCAACTTTATATTCTTTTAGTGCTGTCAGCGTTAACGCGCCGTCGTTATGACAAAGACGATTAACAACTAACCTATCAGGACCGGACTGAGCTACAATCCCTGAAATGTCGTACGAGTGATTTATGTATGAATTATGAACCAAGGAGTTCAGAATCCAGAGCTCAAGGGCTCCGATAGGCATGACCCTCCAACTGCCCGCCCTACCAAAGCCAGGTCAAGATAGGCTGAGCCACAGAGCGTGGAAGGACCACACCTGTCCTAACAGTAGGAGCCTGAGTGAGAAAGAGGAAATGATGTCAGAAAACATCAATGAAAAGTCAAGACGAGGCTCTGAAGATGAGGACGCCGCTGAAAAGGAGGTGTGAGGAGTTAGAGTGTGGAGATTTGGGCGGTTTGAAGTTGGAAAAAGAAGCAAAGCCGCTCGTTTCCATAGAGACAGCAGCGTTCTCGCCACTTACGACACAACGGCACGCAGTGACATCATTAATGTATTTGCCCACTTCACTGTAACAATGAAATGACAGCAAGCAGAGCAGAAAACATCCAACTTCAGTCACCGACCCTTGTTACCAGACACACAGCTGCATAGATGTGTCTCACATCACCTCCACATGTGGAGACACAGACGAGCTTCTGTAGGCGTTGGTGTATCTGTGCAGCTTCCCAGATTGATTTTGCATTAAATCTGCATTATTTAGCCAGAACTCCTGGCTCAGTTTGCTGTGAGAAACAGATCTCCTCCCACACTCTGCTATAATTAGTGTATTTCAACAGTAAACACAAAGTTATTGATCAAACGCTGCTATTGTTCAGTAGAAAGCTGAACGACTACGAGCAGTACAGGTTTACCTGACTGTAAACAGTTTTTGACTCCAGGTTAAAATAAAGGCTGTGTCACCTGTACCTGCTAACAGCGAGCCATACATAATCAATAGCCAATACCGTAGTTAGATCAACACTCTGTGTGCTGCCATTGGTCAGCACTCCAAACACACACCTGAGAGCATCATGTGAGACAGGACGTGTTTATGCCAGACTGTTATCGATGGGTCAAACTCAGGAAAGTTATTGATCAATACGCTGATCGATCACTGCAGCAGTTCCGTTACTGACGTCACTTCACTTTAACTCTGCAGTCACAGTTTACCCGAGTGAGATCACAAACACACCTGTGAGGAGACATTACCCATCAGTCCGCGGCTGACATGGCAGCTAACGGCTAACAGCTAACGGCGGTTCATGTTACCGGGTAGTTAGCTGCCATTAGCCTGTGTTAGCTGTGAGAGTCTAACGGCCGCGGGATACCTTCATCTGTCTCTGATCTGCGACCAGACTCTGACATTAACAGACTCCCAAGGAACGGATTTGATCGTTTTATGAACTTTAAAGCAGAGTTCCTCCTCACTGAAGCTCCGTTGAGTGCTAGCAACTGCGTTAGCTGCTAACCGAGTCATGCTAACACAGAACTCCATATGAAATCCAACAGTTTCTCTCGGCACTCTCACCTGCACACATCTTAAACTCCGTGATACACTTAAGAACATCGGGTCCTGTTCTATGACAAATACTGCTCACAGTCAGTGACCCACCCACAGTTGGTTCCGGTGAAATACTGACTTTAAAGAGTGTCTGTTCGCTCTCCGCGGGTCATTTCCCCTCAGCCGGACTCAGGCCTCTTCAGATGGACCTGCTCGGATTCCGGATTTATTTTAAAATTAGACAGTGTTCGTTTCTTGGATCTGAGCCCAAAAGATGTGCGGAACAAAACGAATCATGAAATATCAAATAAACTGACCAATTTCCCCTTTAATTAGATCGGAAATACCTGGAATCTTAATCTGACAAATCTTTAAAGGTGTCTGGCATGACATATCTCAGCTGTACCGGGTGTAAATTAACAGCTCTGCGTGACCCGAACGGGCCGTGACAGAAGGTACTAACGACCACCAATAATCGCAGAAAACTCTCTCTGTGCCGTCAGCGGCCCTCTGTAGGGCCTGCGGCCGAGGAACAGCGCTCTCACCACGGATTGCACCCGCCGCTAAGGCCGGGCGCAGAGACAGCCACAAACTTCATACATGCTCCGCTCCCCACGCGTGACAACGAGCCAAAGATGCGTATTCATACCTGGACAGGTTCCTGCAGCACCGTCATCCCGCTCTGAGACTCCTTCTGTCCGGTCCGGGGGTCTCTTTTCTCTCCGCTCTTTCTTCACTTGAGTCTCAGGAGGAGCTGCAGCCGAACATTTGAACATACCGACCGTTAGCAACCGAGTACCGCCGAAGATACCCGAGGAGGGAAAATGCCGCGACGGACATGAGCGACTGTCAAACGGAGAAAGCCGAAGCATCTCCTGCGCCCTCTGGTGGTAAAACTTATTACAGAGGTGTTCAGTGTTCTGTCGCCTCCTGGTGCTCAGACTTGTTAGTAGCAACAGCAGACTGGCTGACATGAAGTCGTGAGCCATTTACAACGGCGGCTTTAAATAACTGGCGGTTGTGGTCTTGGGGAGATTGACTATCTTTGGGGAAGATCCTGAACCCAGAGTTTCTCCTAATACATCCATCAATGTCTCCAAAAGTTGATTCTGTTCATCTGGACGTAGCATTTTGTGGGAGAAACGTTTCATCACTCATCCAGGTGACTTCTTCAGTCTCAGCTGACTGCAGGTTTCAATCTTATAAACAGTACATTTGCATAATGACTGAAACCAGCACCAGTGAATCAACATGAGTACCATTCACAGAGAGTTGGGGAATGGCTGCAATCACAGCATTGTAAGATGGCGAAAGATGTACCCTTAGGCCCCCTCCTCAATTCAGAGATTCTCTTTCCCTTTTCACATAAATGGCCTACTTGACTCCGCCCTCAAACCAGCGTTCCTCCCTGTCCAGGGAAGAACTTCTGGGTTTTGGTCAGTGGTCAGTTGCTTCAGTGGGCTGGTTTCAGTCAATATGCAAATGTACTGTTTATAATATTGAAACCTGCAGTCAGCTGAGTCTGAAGAAGTCACTTGGATCAGTGACGAAACGTTTCTCCCACAAAACGCTACGTCCAGATGAACAGAACACACACACTCTCCACCCTGCTGCCAAAAAGAAAGAGGTATCGGAGCATCCAGGCCCTCGCTGCAAAACTGCAGAACAGTTCTTCCCCCAAGCCGTCAGACTCCTGAACACGCACGCATGCACGCACGTACGCACGCACGCACACACTTTCAACTTTCAGACACCAGGTTACTATTTGCACATTTTACACATTTCCATTGCACTGCCTTGTGTTGTCTTGTGTCTGTATCGTCCTGTTCTGTCTAGAGTTGCACTGTTTTGTTTTGTTTTTTGCAGTTTTTGCACGTTGGACTTCACGCAGTCCTGTGTTCGTCTGTTATATGTCATGTGTAGCACCAGAGTGAGAGGAACGATGTTTCCTTTCACTCTGTGCTGTACCACTGTACATGGCTGAAATGACAATAAAAGCCACTTGATTTGACTTTGAATTAGACTCGCAGTAGAAAGGTGTTGTATTATTACTGCTCCCCTCTCATCTGATAGCAGAATACCTCACTGCCAAGGCTGAATGGATGTTCCTGCATCAGCCACAGAATGGTGAGGATGGCCCACCTGTTTCCAACTCAGACCTCCACAGAGAGGGTGAAGGGAGACATGATTTATATTGGTCACTTCCTGGGTGGGTGTTACATGTGTTTTTGGTTTGATGTCTGAAATCAGGTAGGTAAACCTAAACACCTAAACCTAGGTGTGTGGCCATGAGCCTGACAGAGACACTACACCTCAAGTCAATATTCAGTTCAATTGTATATATGCAGCACCAAATCACAACAACAGTCGCCTCAAAGTGCTTCATATTGTAAGGCAGAGGCTAGAATAACAGAGTCTTATATGGTTACTATGTGCACAGACAACACGGCAGGAAGGTAAAATTCTGGCTTCATTTTTGTACAGTGGGATGAAGTGCAGCCAGGTCGGCCATCTTTTCTACAGTCACTGCTCTGTAGTTACTCTTGTCTGTCCAGGCAGTTTCTCAGTTACACTGTTTTCAAGAAACAGCAGACATAAACTGAAACAAGCTTCTTTTGCTCAGCAATTCGCACACAGAAAGGAACCTCTCTGCTGAATCTGCAAAAAATAAAACTGTTAACGTGTTAGATTAATGCCTAAAAGTAAAAATGCATGTGGCACAGTAACATAGTAACTGGGATGGCTCGTGATCTGACGGTAAATAATAATAATGGATTGCATTTAGCGCTTTACAATTCCACTATTCATTCACTCTCACATTCACACACTGGTGGAGGCAGCTGCAGTTGTTGCCACAGCTGCCCTGGGGCAGACTG